GTCAGAGTCTACCCATCCACCTGAGTTTCCCACCTCTCTCTGTTCCAAATACTACCCCTATGCACCTCGGGGTTGAGGGAAGATGTCTACAAAACAGTTTATGAAAACACCCTGCCACAAAGTATAATCAAGTTTTATTATATTGTAGACCCACTATCCATCAACAAAAGGTTGGTCTCCAGATGAATTTGTCTGGCCACATCAACGAACCACGAAGATGTTTTACTAAGTTCTCGAGGTGATACAATATGAACTGGGCCAAGTAAAATCATGGATACTTTTAAGGACTACAGTAAATTCCTTTTAAAGATTATAGTAAATGAGCCAGGACCTGTATGTAACACGTACTATGTATATACATTACAATCCGATGATTCTTCAACTGCTCCAGATTAGCTAGTTGACTGTCACCTACATAAATTTCTACCTTATATCATCTCCTACAGTCAGTGTCTAAATATAAAGTGAAGCTTATTAATGCCTTGTTGAGGTTTTTCCAAAGTAATATAAATCAAGGAGTCAGAGGTAAAGGGAAGTCTTTTCAACATTTGACTTTTAATTAGTAAACAGATAAACCTTGCCTTACTTAGTATAAACAAGAAATATGAAATCCTAAAAGGGATAAAGATCTGATCTGAAAAAAATTCCAATGACCCACTTACTATGACTACACTTGAAACTGGACCTAATTCAAAACTGGACCACATAGAAGTGTTTCAACAACAAATCTGTTTTATCCTGTCTTCTCCTTTTTCACATCACAACTTTAATTGGCATGTTTCCTAAAAATAAAGGCGCTTATGCCCTCAGAAATCACATATGTGTTGGCAGGAAGTAACAACCTGGAGAACACGAAAATGATCTCTCCCTTTCCTCTAAGCTCCCATGATATTTAGTATCTTTTCACACCTCCTGACTTCCTACATTACAAGAAAGTCATGTTCATATCTTATCTCTCCTACTAGACTATAATCTCTATGAGCGCTAAAACGATACCTTATTCTTCCTTGCCTTGAACATAGAAGATGTTTTGCTGGATTAGAAAAAAACAAAAAAAGGTACTTGATCCAAAACAGTGACAAGCCTACAACATCCTCTATAAGGAATGTAACAAAGAAAAGCTTTTACATTTAATCACCCATATAATATACACGTATTCAGAATCCATAAACCAATACTAAAGTAAGAATGACCTCTATTAAGATTCCTGTACAACTATTATTACCCATGATATCACCTTGAGCAAGTTACTGCGAATCAACATTCCTAGTACTACTCCCAAGGGAAGAACACTATTAACCTAGACTAGCTGTGAAAATTGACCATTCATTCCTTATCCCCACGAGCAGGTTTTAGTCCATGACAGGATGTGACAGCACCTCTCACCCCATGGCTACCAAATATCCTTAAAAGCATCTCATAAAGGACTTTTATCAAAATGCTCCTTGAAAGTATGAATAAATTAGACTGTAGAAATAAGTCATGAAGTGCTCACTTGGAGCATTTAACCTGTTCCCCTTCCAGGCATTTTACCCATATGTGCTAGTGTTACAGCCCACCTAATTTGGCATAACAAAGGAAGACGACCTCCATTCTTTCAAAGAAAGATGACTATGGCCTTAACATGTAGTTGCAGAACCTTTGACTCTAAATGCAGTTTTGAGGGCATGTGTGGCCTGTAACCATGAACAATTCTTAGTTGTGGATAGCTGTCCTTTCATGTATTAAACATATATTATGTTTAATGTCCTGTATTCCATGCGAAAGGCACAAAAGTGAAAGGTAACACAATTTCTGCTCTCAAAGAGCATAGTATCTCATAGGGACACTTGCAATGGATAGGAAGATAGCCATGATGGAAGCAAAAGAGGTGAGAATGGCAGGTGATGTAGAGCGGTTTTGAGATATACATAAAGTATATTCACATTGGAAATTCACACTGGATAACATAGATTTGCTAGTAATGTGGGAGGCAAGGTATACTACTGAGTTGGAGGTGGGAAGAAGCTACATAATGAGACTGAGGAAAGAGGAAAACATTTACAAGAGTTGTTACAGGGAGGCCAATATAGTATCTATGACACAAAAGTATTGCCATTAAATAATGAAGGCCTTGTTGAGATCAGATAAATTTGAAATGGGCCTAGTCAACTCCACTGAATGATTTCCTCCAGGTTAATTCAGCAACACAGTTGGCAGAGTAGAAAGAGGACTGGGCCTGGAGTAAGAAAGATCTGAGCTCAAATCTGGCCTTAGATACTAGCTATGTGAGTCTGGGCATCTCACTTAACCTCTGTCTGCCTCAATTTTCCCAGCTATAAAATGGGGATATTAATAGCACATATTTCCCAGGGTTTTGTGAGGATCAAATGAGATAATGTTTGTAAAGTACCTAGCACAGTGACTGGCACATCAAAGGCATTTAATAAATGCTTGTTTCCTTCTTCCCTTCCTTCCTTCTCCCCTTTTACACGTGCAGAAGAGAAGGCAGCTGTGGGAGGAAGCCAAGGCTATGGTTGGGAAAGGTATAAAATGGAAAGAGGACAAAAAGGCAAGAGTTTCAAGGGTAGATGACAATGAATAGTTGAAGTGGTCAATGATAGGCTGAAGGCTGTGAGCGGATGAAAGAGAGGCCACAGCAAGGGTGATGAACTAGGAAAACCAAAGGTAAAAATTGAAAGTTATGGTGAGAAGGAAGGATAGATTTAAGAAGAGTAAGGTAGAGGGAAAATGAAGTAGAGAAGGTTATGTTCAAAGAAGAGAACAGGATCACTGAAGTAGTACAGTTATGGATGATGCTAATAAGGCAGAGGTTCTTGACCTTTTTGTGTCATGGTCTCCCTAGATAATCTGATGAAACCTAGAGACCTCTTCTTAGAATAATGTTTTTAAATGCTTAAAATAAAACAGAATGACAAAGAAAATAAATTATATTGAAATACAGTTATCAAAATATTTTTAAAAACAAGTTTACAGATCCCACGTTAAGAATCTCTGATATAAGGTATGATTACACCTGTGAGTAGCTAATGGAGAATGAAAATAATGGATAGTGGGAGTTAAGAAGGTAGATAAATCAGGACACCAAAGTGCTTAAAGGGGACTCCTAAGTACATAGTGAATCCCCCAAACTTCAAGGCAGAGGCTGGGTGTGACAAGAAAAATTAAGCCAAGAGCTAAACAACTTCAGGGGGGCGGCCAGTAGATGACCAAAACGAGGACCTCGACTTGATAATGGGGCGAATTTCAAAAGAGAAGTTGCTGAGTGCAAATATCTAGTAGAAAAGAATTAAATAGATAGCAGAGGTCAAACAGACCGCCTAAGAGATTCAAGGAGAAACCACTTACAGTGGAGGTCTTCCAGAGGTCCAGGGAAGGCTTCATGGAAGAGGAACTAATGTAGGTTTTGGGAAGAAAAGGTCCACTGTCAATAGGTTGAGATGTAAAAAGAATCATTTCAGGGATGTAGGATGGTGTGTCCAAAGGCAAAAAGCTAAGAAAGGCTATAAAGGAGTAATCCAGTTTGGTCAGACCTTAGAGTGTATGAATAACAATATGATGAAATAAAGCTAGAAAAACATACTGGAGGCTAAATATAGAGTTCTTTAAAAGTGAGGATAAGGAATTTATATTTCATATGGCAGGCAATGGGGAGCCACTGGAACACTTTGAACAGAGTATTGCAATTATTAAACCTGTGCATTAGAAATATTACTTTAGCCAAGGGATGACAATTAGGGGATGACTATTATCCTTGAAGGGAGGAATTTTAATAGAGTGATGGGGCTGGAAATCTGAAAGCAAGAGTTACAGAATGAGTAGATAGTAAGAAAATAAGAGCAGTAAGCATACACTACTCTGACTAGAAGTGACAGGAAGAGGATAAAAAGTAAAAAGGAGTGATAAGGGGGTCAAGTAAGGTTTGGCCTTTGTTTCAAGGGACCACTTAGAATAAGAGAAATATGAGCATCTTTGTAGGTACAGGGAAATAGTCAATAGAGATGGAAAGATTAAGATGTAAGAAAGAAAAGGGAAAAAAGAAAGAGAAATGAGAGGCAAAATGGCAAAGGATTGGATAAAAGTCACAGATGTGCGAAGCTGTGGTACAGTAAAAACTCTACAGAGCATGGATCAGAAGACCTGGGTTCAAATCCCGGCTCTAGAAATTGGCAGCTGCACAAATGTGGACAAAACATGTAAACTCTCTGATTCTCAGTTTTCTTGTGTAAAAATCCCACTCACATGTACTTCACAGCATTATTGTAAGGACAGCCCTAAGAATAACTATAAGGAGGTAGGGAGTCCCATTATAAGAACTACAGACCCTAAGAAAAGTGTCTAACTAGAAACCACACTCAGTATTTTCTTTTTTTTTTCCATGTTATTCTTAAGACTAGACCAATCACTACCTTCCAATCGCACCTTTCTTTCATTTAATTTCTAAAAAAGGAAGTAGAAGGGCCCAGTGAAGGCTCCAGGCTATAAAGACCAAGGCTGCCTCTTGCAATAATGGCAGCAATCCCTCTCCATTCTTATCAACTTTAAGGCAAACAGTCTGATGACCTACTATTAACCCTCTCAAAGAATTCCAGGAAAGACAAGGTAGCCCAATTCAAGAGTACGCCTCTACTCTCCCACGTTCATTTGAGTCTTTAAAATGAAACACACTAAATACCTTTTGTTGAAACCAAGAGTCTTTCTGCCTCCCATCTTAACATAATTTAAGTACTGGTTTTGCACCATCATACGCCTTGGTGCCAAGCCCAGTTTTCCAAAGACAGAGGATATATAAATAGTAATCACCTTCAATTTAAAAAGCTTAAACTAGTAGCAGAGATTACTCTGTATCACCTGCCAAGAACTACTGACTCCCCAAGGGAAAGTGTGCAATAGGATGCATGCATTACCAGATTTCGAGAGACTACAAAGGGGTCTGAAGTGCCAGGAGTGCTTCTAAGCCCTGGAAGAACAGTCCATTAGCAGAAAGTATTACATCTCACCAACATGTCCGTGGCATTGAGATAGTGCTTGCTGACCATGCACTGTTCCAGTTTTTGGGGCACTTGCTTGATATTCTCAATTTCATCCAGCAGGTTTAGGACATGCTTGTGCTCAATTCCTTCAATCCACAGCTTCCGGAGCTCATCCCGTTTGCAATGCAACAACATCTTGCAGGAAAGCAGGTTTTCCTTTACCTAGAAAAGAGCAATTTCAACCTTGATTCAGTCCAAATTCTCTGCATTTTAAGCCCACTGGTCAATTAACATTGTTCCTTGGTGCTAATTGTACTTAACACTTGCTAACTCCCACTTTTTCTTAATCCCTTGGGTTAGTGTGTTTTCTGAGTTCTAATCCTGGCTCTGACACTGACTCACTTCGATGAGTCTTCTCCTCTCTCTGTCTGTGTTTTCTCTGCTGTGAAATGAGAATGCTACCCCTGACCTACCCCTGAGTGAATCCATAAGACATAACTAATGACATAAAGCACTTCGAAAATATTAAGTGCTATGTAAATGTTAAATACGTTTCATGGGGAAATGACTGAAATGAAAACTTGACGCTGCTATTCCTCTCTAATCTTCCACAGAGAATCCGTGGACTTGAAGGGACTCTAAGGGGTCATATGTCTCCAAGGGGAGCCTTATTTAAATCAACACAGGCAAATGGATACACATCCTGACTGACTCAAAGGGGAAAATGTAACTAGCAATTTTCCTTATTGACAAATAAGCCAGAAAACCAAAGTTACCAGGAAACATCCTCAGATTAAATAACTTTTTTCAATGTTTTTCAATTTTAGATTCAAGAGCCACTTTTGAAATTCAAGTGTATTCACATTTAATTAATCTTCCAATACGCAAAGAGAGTCTACAGAGAATAGTGAGGAAGGCTGCACTACATATCTTTAGATTACCATTGACTTTCAACATTTTCCCAACTAGCAACAATATTAGGAAGACATAAAAATTCTAAGACTGGAAAAATTGTTGAGAGATCACTAATTTATCCTGTTCCTAAACCAGAACTTATGCCATTTTAAAAGAGATCCAGAGATAAGAAAAAAAAAATTCCAAAATCTACCTTTATATATCCGCTTAAAAGCTAATAAGGCAATGTAGTAAAATGAAAAAGAATCCTGGACTTGTCATTAGCAAAACCGAGTCTACTCTTTCCGAGCTATAGACTTAGCTGTACCACTTCATGTCTCTGGACCTCAGTAGCCTTATAAATAAAATGATGAGGTTGGATTAGGCAATCTCTAAAGTCCCTTCTAGTCCTAAATCTTTGTTAAGTTCTGCCAAAATGGCCATCTCAAATGGTATTTACCCATTACAGTTCTGACGCTATAATAGTTCCAATAAAGGCAAAAAAAAAAAACAAACAAACAAAAAAACAAACCTCAACTGCTTTCAAAGCAGCTGAATTTTCATACAGACCAATAAGACTTTATTTACAAAAATACAGAACTCCTTCGGTAAAAATCCACATTATTTGGAATGACTAAAAATCATATCATTTTGCTGGAAAATAAATTTCTTAATTGAACAAAATTTCCAATGAATTTTTATATGATTTGAAAAAGGAACCAGCTGCATTTGGCAAAGTAGTAGTTGGTTAATTCTAATCCAAATCCATTTGTCTGTATTACCATAAAGAGTTTAGATTTTAGGAAGTGGAACCAAGATGGTGGAGTAAAGGCAGGGACTTGCCTGAGCTCTCCCCCAAACCTCTCAAATACCTTTAAAAAAAATTACTCTAAATAAATTCTAGAGCAGCAGAACCTATAAAAAGACAAAGTGAAACAAATTTCCAGCCCAAGACAATTTGGAAAGTGGACAGGAAAGATCTGTTACACCAGGGTGAGAAAGGAACACAGTTCATCATAGGCTGCACTAGTGTAAACTGGGCCCCAGCAAACCCAGAGCAGGCCTCGGGCTTTGCCCATACTCAGATCCAGGTTGCAGTCCTGGGTGGTAGTCCCAGGGTGAGGAAGAGCACTAGCATAGTAGAGATTGCAGCAGCAGTAGAGGAGGGACCCTCCTTACAATGCCAGGGCATAAAAGAGTGCTTGTGGTCACTCACGGACCAGAGCACAGGCCAGAGCAGTAAACACCTCTCCTTAGATCATACTACTTTGGAAGAACTGAAAACTTACAGGTCCCTAGAAGTATCTCTGCAAACAGCTACACAAAACCCCTGAAGCTTGGGACAGTGCACCCTCCATCCAGGAAACACAGCCCTACTTTAACAAAGAGTGAAAAGTCAAGTAATTGGCTGGGAACATGAACAAACAGAGGAAAAAAACTCAGACTCTAGAATCTGACTTTGGTGACAAAGAAGATCAAAACACACAACCAGAAGACAACAAAGTCAAAATTTCTACATCCAAAGCCTCCAAGAAAAATATGAATTAGTCTCAGATCATGGAAGAGCTCAAAAAGGATTTTGAAAATCAAGTAAGAAAAGTAGAAGAAAACTGGGAAGAGAAATTAGAAACGAGAGCGAAACAAGAAAATAATGAAAAATGTCTCAACAGTTAGGTAAAGGAGACACAAAAAAGTACTGACAAAAATAACATCTAAGGGGCAGCTAGGTGTTGAAGTGGATAGGGCACCAGCCCTGGAGTCAGGAGGACCCAAGTTCAAATTCGGCCTCAGACAAATGACACTTACTAGTTGTGTGACCCTAGGCAAGTCACTTAACCACAATTGCCTCACCCAAAAAAGAAAAGAACACCTTAAAAAACAGACTAGGCCAAATGGTAAAAAGAGGTCCAAAAAACCAATGAAGAGAAGAATGCTTTAAAAAGCAGTTGGCCAAATGGAAAAGGAGGTCCAAAAGCTCAATGAAGAAAATAATTCCTTAAAAATAAGAATGAAGCAAATGGAAGCTAATGACTATGAGAAATCAAGAAACAATAAAACAAAGAGAGCAAGAATGAAAGAATGAAAAAATAAAAGACAATGTGAAATATCTCACTGGAAAAACAACTGACCTGGAAAATACATCCAGGAGAGATAATTTAAAAATTATTGGACTACCTAAAAGTCATGATCAAAAAAAGAGTCTAGATATCATCTTTCAAGAAATTATCAAGGAAAACTCCCCTAATGTTCTAGAACCAGAGAGTAAAACAGAAATTGAAAGAATCCACCGATCACCTCCTGAAAGAGATCCCAAAATGAAAATTTCCCAGGAATATTATAGCCAAATTCCAGAGTTACCAGGTCAAGGAGAAAATATTATAAGCAGCCAGAAAGAAACAATTCAAGTATCATGGAGCCACAGTCAGGATGACAAAAGATTTAGCAGCTTCTACATTAAAGGACTGAAGGGCTCGGAATATGATATTCTAGAGGGCAAAGGAGCTAGGACTACAACCAAAAGTCACCTACCCAGCAAAACTGAGTATAATACTTTGGGGGGAAAATCTCCATTCAACGAGATAGAGGACTTTCAAGCATTCTCTCAAGCTGAACAGAAAATTTGACTTTCAAATACAAGACTCAAGAGAAGCATAAAAAGGTAAACAGGAAAAGGAAATCATAAGGGATTTAATAAGTTTAAACATTTACATTCCTACATGGGAAGAAAATATTTATAACTCATAAGAACCATTCTCATTATTAAGGAGGTTGGAAGGAGGATATCTAGACAAAGGGCATAGGTATGAGTTGAAAATGAAGGGATGGTATCTAAAAAATAAAATTAAGGGATGAGAGAAGAATGTATTGGAAGAAAGAGAAAGGGAGAATACTTAAAAGACATAAGAAAAAGCTTTTACAGTGGAGGAGAAGAGGGGGGAGGTAAAGGGAAGTGATTGAATCTTACTCTCATCAGAATTGGCTAAAAAAAGGAATAACATACACACTCAATTGGGTATAGAAATCTATCTTACCCTACAGGGATGGGGGGAGGGAGGTGATAGAAGGGATGGCAGATTAAGGGAGGGGGTAGTCAGAAGTAAAACCTTTTCAGGAGGGACAGGGTAAAAGGAGAGAGAGAATAGAATAAAGAGGGGGGAATAGGATGGAGGGAAATCTAGTTAGCAACAGTAACTGTGAAAAAAATTTTGAAGCAAGTTTCTCTGATAAAGGCTTCATTTCTCAAGCATACAGAGAACTGAGTCAAATTTATAAAAATAAGAGCCATTTCCCAATTGATAAATGATCAAAAGATATGATCAGTTTTCAGATGAAGTAATCTAAGCTATCTATAGCCATATGAAAAAATACTCTAACTCACTACTGATTGGAGAAATGCAAATTAAAACAATTCTGAGGTACTACCTCATATCTATTAGATTAACTAATAGAACAGAAAAGGTAAATGACAAATGTTGGAGGAGAAATGGGAAAAATGAGACTTTAATGCACTGTTGGTGGAACTTTCAACTGGTTCAACCATTCTGTAGAATAATTTAGAACTATGCCCAAAGAAAATAAAACCATGCATACCCTTTGACCTAGCAATACCACTACTAGGTATATATCCCAAAAGAGATAAAAAACAAAAAGGAAAAGGACCTATATGTAAAAAAAATATATTTATAGCAACTCTTTTCTGGGGGTAAAGAATTAGAAGTTGAGGGGACGCCCATCAACTGGAGAATGGCTGAACAAGCTGCGGTATATGACTATGATGGAATACTATTGTACTAAACAAAATGATGAGCAGGATGCTCTCCGAAAAACCTGGAAAGATTTGCATGGGCTGATGCAAAGTTAAATGTACTGTGGACAAAGTAACAGCAATATTCTAAGATGATCAGCTGTGAATGACTTAGCTATTCTCAGCAATACAATGATCCAAGACAACTCTGAAGGACTTATGGTGAAAAAGGCTATCCATCTCCAGAGAAAGAACTTAGTGTCTGAATACAGATTGAAGCATATATTTTTTATTTATTTTTCTTGATTTTTTTTCTTGTCTATATTTTCTTTCACAACATGGCTATTATGGATACATTTTGCATGGCTACGCATGTATAACCTATATCAAATTGCTTTCCTTCTCAATGGGGAGGTGGAGGCGGGTAGGAAGGAAGGGAGAAATTTCAGAACTCAAAGCTTTAAAAAGGAATGTTAAAAATTGTTTTTACATGTAACTGGGACAAAAAATACTAATTTTTTTGAAGAAGTTTAGATTTTACCAAATAAACAAAGTTCCATGGGACTATATGCAAACACTGTTATAACTCAGTATCTGGATGCTGCCACCTCACTCAGTATAAATACTATAGTGTCATGTTCTACATGAAAGCAAGAAAGGATTTGCCATTTCCTAATTATACTCTGTTGGCTAAGAGCAAAAAGAAAATTTCAGTTCATGGCCCAATTGCATTCTCAATGTTCTGCTGTCTTTGTCTCTGAAGGAACCAAATAATCCATTGGGTAATTGGCCAGACAACAAAATCATTCACATTCATACCTTTAACAACTATGGTGTATGTATATAAATCAATGACTCTCTTGAAACCAAAAAGCAACAGGAAAAGGTTAGTAAAGAAATGTCAGTGTTTCCTTAGTGCATTGAAATTCGACTTTCATGGTAGGAAATTGTCAAATTCTCCAACTTAAAACAAGTCCACTCACTTTTCGTACGTTTTTCTATCATTTTTTTTCCACATGCTTGCCAATTAGTAAAGGCATCTATCCTTTTTTAAAGGGCTATGGCCCTTTAATTCTCTTCCTATGTGATCTGAGAGTTGTCATAATTTGGAATTTCTTATATGACAATTATTTTCCTGATAACTGCCTGGTGTAATGATTACATGGGTTCTGTTTATATTTTTTTTTGCCAAACTCAGAAGGAAAATGAAGTGGCAGAAAATAGTTTCGTTACCAATAGAAGCCTCTGAAATAATCAAAAAAGGGATTAGAAAAATCAGCTCAGAATGATGTCTTTTCAAGTCTATTCCAATGTGAACATTCTTTCTTGGCAGCAAAGATAATATCAACACAAAGTGAAGAGAAGTCAAGTCAGGAATCATTGCTGGTTCTTCCCTCAAGATAACAACAAAGTCCTTTTAGTACGCATCAACCAAAACTAATCAGAAAACACAAATATCAAAAGATCCTTCACCCAAGCTGTGATTACTCTAAGTAAAGCCAAAAGGTCAGTGGCTCTACACATTCATTTGCTGACCCTGCTGGAGCTTAGTATATATTAGGTCAAAATGGACTACAGTTTATTTGAAATCTAGGGCAATTGATCTCAAGCTTCCCCAGGTTTCAAACATAAATCCATAGGATGAACTCTTGACTTGTAAAGGATAAGAGCTGCAGCTTTCCCTCTGGAAATACTCAAGTTAATTTTACAAGGTGGCAAGGTCAGCATTCTTCCTCAAATAGGGTTATGGCTTACTGCTTCCACAGTGATGCTCTGAAAAGTGGAAAACCATGATCTCCACAGCTCACCTCAAACAAAACAACAATTTATGTATCTGCCTCCAAAATCTTAACAGTGTAAGCTCTAAAGGCCTGAAAAGATAGAAAGTAGAACGGCTGTGGCTATGAAAGTAGAGATACTTCAGAGGCAAGCTCACAACCAAAAACCTCTTATTCTATTAGTTACTATCTAGGGAAGTTAAAACCATGATTTTTCATTTGGATGAAAAACAATACACACAGGACAAATTCTTCAAACACAGCAGGTATTAGTTGTTGATATTAATTTGTTGGTAATAATTTGTTGATATTAAATTCAACTAATGTTAAGCACTTGCTATGTGTACAGCACTATGCCTGCTTTGGAAGAGAGAGAAAATTTAACTAAGACATGGTCTCTACCCTACTTGATCTTGCAATCTAGTAAAACTGTAGTACATATAAACAAAACTCTAATTGAAGAGGAGCCCTGTAGTGTCTATTTCATTAGCTTGCTTTGGCCCCATCAAAAAAAAAAAAAACAAAAAACTTCCCCTTGAGGCAATACCCCGCTTTGAGCTGGCATTCTAGTCAGAAACACCTGGGCTTAAGTCCCAGCTCTGACACACAAGTCACATGACCATATGCAAGTCATGTAATCTCTCTATTCCAGACGCCAAGTCTCCAAAAGTCTACGTTATAGAGGAGTTAGCCGTGCTGGTGAAGGAGTTTCCAGAGTGGGAAGCTCCCTCCTGATGAAATCACAGGTGCCGACAGACCAGAACCAAGAGCCTAACATCTGTTCATAGGGCTTTACAATGTTCAAAGTCTTTTGCAAACGTCATCATCTGGAGCTTCCCAACAATCGTGTGAGATCCATACTACATATACTACAGATAGGATTATGCCCATTTCATAGATGAGGACACTGAGGAGCTTCAGTGATTTGCCGAGGGTGATACAACTGGGTGTTTTCAAACCCAGGCCTTCCCAATCCAAGTCCATATTTGCCCCACCATGCTGTGTCATCTCACGTGGGTAAAGGAAAATTGAGAGTAGAGTGGAAACAAGATAGAAAATGCTCAGTGGGGTCTCCTTCAGCAAAGCTCTGTGGACTTGTATGAGGGTCGGAAACAATCTGACACAACTAGCTAGTAAGCAGCAGCTCCAAAGCCACAGCCCCTATAACATACAGCCTCAACTTAAGAAAGAAGCTCCATGTGAACAGAAGTCAGACATTCACCTGCTTGATTTTATTTCGAGAATTAGTGATGCGCTCCGTGATGCTCTGATAGGTGCGGATGGCCGTCGTGAGCTCGGTGTAGTGCTGTACGATCAGCTCATCTAGGTCACGGTCACACTTTTCATAGGCTTCTTCCAGACGGCCCTTTTCATTTTCTCTGTCCTCCACATCATCACTCGTAGATAGAGTCCTGACAGAGACAGAACATGCATGATAAGAAAAAAAGGAAAACAGTCTATAAAAACATTATAAGTCCAATTTTAATAAATAGACCAAAATTAGTTAAACCAAAAGAAACACTACTTTCTGAGAAAGAATGATGTTTTGACCTAGTTCAGAACATTGAGGCATGAGTCAGACTGGCCAGTGTCACTAAAGCAGTAGGCCTTCTTATAGGTGTATCTTATACAAATCAAGCCTAACTTAAGATACACCAGGGTCTCAGTCATCTGGGGCCTCAGGCATGAGCTCAATCTCCAAGCCATGAGAAGAAGATGAAGGAGATCACCAATGGCCCATTGAGAGAGCACTCTCAGGACTTAGTAAGTCCAGGTTTTACCAAGCACTTATCACTCCTCCTAATTAAATATGAAGATAACCAGATTCCATCCTCCACACCTAGAGAACTCTGTAATGCAGCTGAGTGCCAAGTTCCATTTTATTTTGTTTTTCCTAGGGGTAAGGAGAAGGGGACAATGGAGGATGGAAAGGATCTTGTTCACATGCCCCATTGGTTTTGTTCCTGTTGTCAGAAAGACAGATGCTACAGATTGGCCAGTGAGGCTCTCACTCTACCAGAGAGCCTGGAAGATTCCAATATGGAGACTTCCGGCAATGGGAGAATCCGAAAGAAAGGCAAGATAGGAGTGCCAGGCAGGGGGAGGAGATGTGCCTACAGCAGAGGGAGCATGATGTACATTTAAGTCTTATGGAGTTCTGTGGATCTTTATGAGGACAAAACAAAACAAAAGCGTTTTTGCAAACTACCAAACCTTTTCATGGAAGATTAAGAACAGTACATCTAACTGAACTAATCTGTCATACAAACACTGGACCAGAACAAAAGATTGCATGATAGCCCCCCTCCTCAAGTATCCACCAATTAAGATTGCCATTTACTTATCAGGGGAGGGCTTGATAATGTGCTGTCAGGAAGAAAGGTGGGCATTTAAGATGATCCAAGACCCTGCATCTTTGTTTTCAGGGACCAAGAGAAGTCATTGACTATCAAGTTATTATTGGCTTGCCCAGTGAATAAATTGATTTTTAATACCTGGAAAAAAAAAGATTGCATGAACTATGAAGATGCTATACTCCAAAAATCTGAACCTTACACGAAGGCCATCACTGTATTTACTATTCTAATAACAGCACTAAGAGATTAACAGACATCAACAGTAACCAAAGGATGAGGTAGATGCACTTATGAAAAAAATCTCTCAATAACCTAATTTGAAACATGAGCCAGGTCTCTGTTTCTTCCATTATCTTACATGCAGTTTAATTTTTTTTTAATTCAGTTTTATCCTCAGTGACAGAGAAAAAGCCCTCTTCCTCTTATCTGTTAGTTGCTGTAATTTACAGTGTTTCATTAAATTCCTTCAGGTTTGTCCTTATGTACCCTCAGCCCAATGGATTTCATTTCCTTTTTTAATTTGGGAGGGGTACTTTAGAGTCCCAATGATGAATACCATCATTTGTAGGACCATCATCAGAGCTTCTTTAAGAGATGAGACAGTCAGTAAGTAAATTATGAATCCACTTTCAGATATTTCCATGAAAAATACAGAAGTTTCTCCAAATTGACATTTAAAGCAAGAGATCTCAACTCAGGAGCTATTTAGCATTAAAATGTTCCTTCTTAGCATTGATGTGGGGGAAATCTGAGCAGCCTGCGTATTTACAAAGTAGCAGATTAAGAGTTGGAAAGGGGGCAGCTAGGTGGCCCAGCGGTTAGAGTACCAGCCCTGAAGTCCAGAGGACCTGAGTTCAAATCTGACCTCAGACCAAACACTTGACACTTACTAGCTGTGTGACCCTGGGCAAGTCACTTAACCCCAATTGCCTAAAAATAAAAAGAAACAAAAATTTAAAAAAAAAAGAGTTGGAAAAGAGTTTTAAGGTTATCCGATACAAATTCCCCTCATTTTACAGATGAGGAATCTGAGGCTCAGAGAGGTTATGTGACTTGTCCAAGGTCACAGAGTTAGTAGCATCTTAAGGCTGAGTTAAAGGTTCTACAGACTGGGTATAGCGTGAAAAATCAGTCAGTTATCAAGCACTATGTACAAGTTATAAAATATCTATGGAGAAAGAATGGCATCCAGAAAAGACTAGAAATAGTTGAAGATGGAAGAGCACTTGGAAAATTCAGCTATACAGTTGGGATACAAAGATTTCTTTCAAGACTGAAATCCAGAATAATAACTGAGCACGTCTATCTGCTACATCTGTGATGCATACATAGCTTGGCTCTTTAAAGCTGAAGGCTTCCAAGTTGTTAGTCCAAAGCAAAACAAGATCCTAAAACTCTTGATTTGTCAAATGTCCCAAAGCGAATGGCTTTTTGAATATTTAGCTGCCATTCTTTGTTGTCACTGTGGGGTAATAATAAAGTCAACAGTATACTGAGGTCAATTCCCCCATCACTGTACAGCTTTACAAGTTTCTCTCTATTCTCTCTTACCTATTATGTGCTTCTCTCTACATCCTCTACGCCCCCTACTTATGGGAGGAAAAGTGCAAAACATTTCACATTGCTTAGGTTAACTAGTGAAATAGCCATTAAATAAAAGACCCAGCAAGGATATACTCTTCTCTGTCAACTACCATAGTAACAAATTATAGGTAGGTTATGAGGTATTTAAGAAATAGAAACGGTTACTGATACGCAAACTAGAGAGTAAATTATGCTTATTTTGGTTTTGGCTTGTGTTTTCACATACAGAGAAAATATCCATATCAAAAATACAAGTGCAGATATACTCTTTTGCGTATCATTCTCCCTTCTTCAATCTTCTTACTGGGCTGTCACTTCTCAAATTTTTCCTACAGTCAGTTACAGTAGCAAGAACACAATGTTCTTCCCCCCCCCAAAAAAAATTAAGAAGCCAAAGAAAAGGCTTCACAGAGATGCAAATGAATCAAAGCAACACTGCATGGACTTCTTAACACGTCATATATAGAGAAGGTAATAGCCATCTAGAAATAGCTGATAGGAACAGCCTGTGAACAGTATGAATTCAGAAACAAGTATTTGGGAAATGTGAAACTTAGATAAGGGTACAAGTATGGTCATTTGAACTAGGAAGTTAGAAACAGAGACCTGCTTTTGCTATTCTTGAATAAAGCAACTGCTTCTTTATGCCTCAGTTTCCTCTTCTGTAAAATGAAGATGGGAATAAAAGCCAAAAACCTATGCAGAGTAATTAAGTAAAAGTTGAATTCAGCAAACTAATTCAATATAGAAAGTTTTGATTTATGCAATTATTAACTAAAATATGTAGCAAAACTCAAGGTTATATGAGTATGGCTATAGTTGTCTTTGCAAGTCATGTAACTAAGTCATTTGGCAGAATTCAAAGAATTTTAGCATTAGAAGGGAATATAGGTAACATCTTTACTCAAGCCTCCCATCCAATGCAGAGATTCCTTAAATCATTCATTAAATGACATGTTATCTAGACTCTTTAATATCTTGATTATCCAACTACCCTCCTAAAACACAGAGCTAAGAATTAAACACAGTGCTCTTGGTGTAGTCCATAGGTGAGATAGGAAATGTTGAAAATCACTATAAGTGCACCAATACTGAATTATCTTTTTTCCACACTCAAGCCAAGTATCTGGTTAATTAAAATCCCAGTGCCTTTTTCACATAAACTTCAGCCAATACAGATCTCTCCCATCCTATACTTACATATTTATTTTTTGAAGACGTCATATTTATCCCTGTTAAAGTCCAGGTTTAAACTTCACAACAAAACCTGTCTTCTACAACACGTCTTTGCCTTCCACTCCTGATGCTGGATCTCACCCTTAATCAAAACAGTTAACATCAAAGCTGTATCTCAGAGAGAGGCAGTGCTCAACTAGAGGTACTTAATAAATATAAGAGTAAAACCAAAGCATAACTGAGATCTCCAAGCAGCTTCTAAAGTTGCAAGAGTCTAAAGTCTAGGGCAAAGGTAGCAGGTGTTTGTAGCTAGATATGAAATATGTAGCATGAACCCAGAAATGGGAATCAAAATTGATTTGGCCTCCATCATCCCAGTCTTCTTTGAAGTCACTGACTCTCCCTCTGGATCTTTCCATTTCTACTTCAAAAATCTGCTGACTTAACCAAGATTAAGTTCACGGAAGACTAACATATTAAACCAGATGCTCGATGTAATAATGAGACAGACTCTGGACAGCAACTTGAGTGCTTTCAGTAAATTACTACCTTAGAAAAATAAATTAATGAAGTAATAATAAACAGAAAAACACCTCTCCAAAGATGTCTAACTGTTACCCAGAGAGGCACTTATTTATCCAACAGGCTCTGGAATGCATTATCTATATTACCGGCATTAGCAATAACTAATACAAAATATAAACACTGAGGTACAATGTGCTTCTTCTACTACTAATTCCATAGCTGTCAATTCCAAAAGAGTCCTTCAGTCAAGCATATAAACCTCTGCAAATAACCATGGAGGCATAAGCATGAGTCTGTCAGGTTCCTTTTCGTGCATTTCAGAAAGATAGATCAAGCAACTTGAAAGGAAAATAGCTAGTCACTACCACTGCCTCCTTCTTGATACAATTTTGTCTTCACTTTGTTAAAGTAATAGAATCCAGATAAGGCCAAATATATAAATCAGTACACCCCTGAAAAGATGGATGACACAAAAGAGTAAAGAAAAAACAAACCTTTGGAAATAAGGTCAGTTTCTCCCAAGTGTAACCTGTCACTCAGGAGGAAAAGCACCATCTGTGTAGCCAACAAAGAATAATAGCATCTAGACCTTCTATCCCATCTCCAACAAACTCACACAATCACATCCCTAAAAACACTATCACGTGCTAAGACAGAGCCCTTGTTACCACTAAACTCAAATCTAATAAATAAGTATACTACTGAGGTATAGGAAGAAGGCTGCAGAAATCACCTCCATCCTGAACTACCTCAGAAGACTTATTTAAGAA